TTCCATATCCTTGTAATTTATTTGATTATAAATAAGATAACTTTCACACCATTTAGGTGTGGTGGATTAATCAAACATTCACATGGTATCAGAGCCCTCTCGGTTTAACAACCCCCATCCTTTCTTTTCAATGGCTTTTGAATCCTCTAATCTTCTTCTCCACCACCCCTGCTGGTTTTGACGCCGCAGGGGTAGTCTTCATGGCTGCCGTAGTCGGAGCCGATTGATTACTCTTCGGCTCCACCCTATTGACCTCCAAATCACCTTTCGTCATACTCTGTACATATAACCTCACCTTTTCCAACCAAATCGGTTTTCCCCTTGGCCAATATAGTCTCTCTCATTTTCTTCTCAATCAACCTTCATCCTTCACATAAACTCTAACCTAAACCTATCAACCTTTTGCAGAGATTTACCTTCGGAATCTGGGTGCCGCACTGGCCTATTCGCCAACCAAGTTGCCGCCGCCCTTCCTGCCAAAATTGGCTTCTTTGCCCGATGAGGCGACTCTTCCGACTGCCCTTCTCGCCAAAATTGGCTCCTTCGCCCAATGTGGCGACTCTTCCGGCTTCAACATTGTATTTGTCCCTTGCTCTAGGTTTCCCCTTCTACTTCTTGGGGTTAGAAATATTCTCACCAGAGCCAAGGCAGCATCGTCGCTAAGCGACAATCCCTCTTCATGGGTTAGACATATTCTCGCTGAAGCCAAGGCAGCATCGCCGCTGAGCGGCGATCCCTCTGCAATTTTTGATGGCCAAGAACCGGGTTGTTAGCATCTTCATGAAAAGTGTTTCTCAACCTCTTTGAATTTTTCAGATTCAAGCTTCACGTTCGTTTAAATCCGACGCTTAGCTTGCGGTGGGGTGTTAAGGATATTTAGTAATAAATTATAGTTTACCATATATATTATATTTGATATTTTATTATAAGGCAAATATTAGACATTTGCCTTATTATCATAGGTATCTTTTCATTTATTGTTATTTCCATTTATTACTATTTCCATATCCTTGTAATTTATTTGATTATAAATAAGATAACTTTCACACCATTTAGGTGTGGTGGATTAATCAAACATTCACACAAACGATAGATCTTAAAGGGTTGGCGCAGATGGAGTACCCCGGTTGCCCACATGTTGCCTTCACGTTGTAATTATTTGGCGCCCCTCCGTACCCACAGCATGCCATTAATGCCTTCTCAAACCCTTTCACAAAAACCAAAACATTCTCTCTTAATTAGTCTTTAAACTTATTTATAGTTTGGTTCGAGATTTCATACCATATACGTCGGGATGGACGAAGAGATTATATTTGATGGTGTATACGTCGACGTAGACAACGATGGCATCCTTAAATTGAGATCGTAGCTGTTTGCACACATTTTTTAGGTCTTTATTGAAGGATTTGGCGACTTGATTGTGAACCCTAAGGCACCCAATTTGGTCAACATCCTTGTGGGTGTGGGGATGCAATGCCAGCTCTTTTGGAGAGCAACCTAATGGCCCTGTGTTGTGTATCCAAAATTTTCTTCCACCATTTGCATATAGATTCTGTACACAATGTTGTAAGTTGTGTTTTCAAATATTAAAATACGTAACATGATCCAAAAGATTCCTTGCCATAAAGTGGTGTATAGTTCAAAGACACTGCAACTTGGTGTATTATTAATGGTTTTAAGAGTGGTGAATTTGGAAGGGAAAAGTGGAAGAAGGTTCACCTGAATGGCTAGCTTGATTTCTGCAAGAAAAGATGGGATCTTTTGGGCCACTGGTTTGTAGGTTAAATTTGATGCATAAAGGGCAACTAAGAGATCATTCTGACCAATGTCAATCATGTATACTCCATTCTTAAACCCTTCTTCATCCATTATGTTCTTAGTTTTACCTGCCACAAACCCATCTACATTACAATCTTGATAACCAAACAAAGAAATTTATAGGTCGTAGAAGTAGGGATTCGAAATTGTTATTGTAACTGTTAAGCCCACATCCCACTGCTAATAGATATTGTTCTCTTCCCGCTTTATCTTTTGAATTTCCTCTCAAGATTTTTAAAAACATGTTTGTTAGGGAAAGGTTTCTCACACCCTTATAAAAAAATCGATGTGGGATCTCTCAATCCACCCCCTTCGAGGCTCAGCATTCTTGCTGACACACCGCTCGATGTTTAGTTCTGATACCATTGGTAACAACCCAAGCCTACTACTAGCTGATATTGTTCTCTTTAGGCTTTCCATTCTATGGTTCTCCTTAAGGTTTTTAAAACACGTTGACTAGGGAGAGGTTTCCACACTCGTATAAAGAATATTTCGTTCTCCTCTTGAACTGATGTGGGATCCACAATCCACCCTTCTTCGGGGCCCAGCGTCTTCGCTGGCACTCGTTCTCCTCTCTAATCAATGTGGAATCTCATAATCCACCCCATTTAGGGCTCAGGGTCCTTGTTGGCACACTGCCCAATGTCGGGCTTTAATACCATTTGTAACAATTCAAGCCTACTGCTAGCAAATATTGTCCTATTTGGCTTTCCCTTTCGGACTTCTCCTCAATGTTTTTAAAACGCGTATGCTACGGAGAGATTTTCACACCCTCATAAAGAATGTTCCGTTATTCTCNAAAAAAAAAAAAAAAAAAAAAAAAAAAAAAAAAAAAAAAAAAAAAAAAAAAGAGGGAGAAATTACAATAGAAAGGAAAAACATATACCTAATGATTGAAGGTGAAGAGAACGGTTTTTGAAGTGAATGAATTGGCGAATTTGAACATCAAGAGCAAAAGGAACGAACTGTGGAAGTGTAGTTGCTCCACTCACTGCAAAGTTCACTCCACTTGTAAAATTTGGAGCTAAGGACTCCAAATATGGACTCAAATACCTCAGTTTCAAGTCTTCACCTGAACCCCAAAACCCCAAAACATCAAACATCAAACATCAAACATTTGACTGCCTAATCTGAAACAAACCCTACTAAATAGCATGGAACTCACAGAAGAAGTCAATTATGAGGCGACCGTCACCGAAGCGCCCGGTACCATGATGGAAGAAGGTAATGCCGTGGGGGAGGCCAATGGGGAGTCCGGTCCCAGCAAGAACACCACCGGTATCAGAGTTCGAGTCGCCGAAGTTGATCAAAGTTGGCGGTGTAGGGGTGCAGCTTGTTGATGGAATGAATATGGCAAGAGAAATTACACAAACCCAAAATGGATTATGCTTTGGATCAAACATTAATGTTGTTGTTCTTGATCTTGATTTGGTCATCTTTTTTGTTCTTACCCACACTATTATTACTATTATTTTTTTTCTTTTCAAAATTAAAAAAGAAAAGGGAAGAGTTTAGGGTTTAACCCAAGTTGCTATTAAATTAAGATTATCTGCTGGCAGGAGTTGACTTTTTTGTCGGATTTGATTCAACCTTCTTGGAATTCTTATTTGAATTTTGCCTTCACACCAAAGTTAATTTTGGCACAAACTGTGTAATCGTTCTTTTGGATATAATAATGTTATTTCAGACTTCAGTTAAAATATTTATTTTATCGACAAAAAAAAAAAAAAAAAAGGCCTTGTACAGGGTTGTTCAGGCCTAGTGTTAGTCTGTCTTGGGCATGGGCTTGGGCTTGAGATCTGGTCCAGACCTCCATCTACTTAGTTTCTGAGTTGAAATTTACGTTTTTAGGAAGCATGCGAGGCTAACGACGATACGTAACAAGTCAAAGCGGACAATATCCGTTAGCGATAGGTTTGGATCGTTACAAATGGTGTGCCAACAAGAACACTGGGCTCCCAAGGGTGGTGGATTGTAAGAACAGATGGGTTGGAAAGGGAAATGAAACATTCATTGTTATAAAAGTGTAGAAACCTCTCCCTAACAAACGTGTTTTAAAACCGTAAGGTTGAAAGCGTAAGCAAAGCGAACAATATTTGTGAGCGCACTAGAAGGCTCTTAATGGATAGGTTAAACGTGTACAAATGAGCCTAAAACTTGGTAAAAGTAAAAAAAGGAAGAGGATAATGATATTAAAATTGATGTAGAAGTGACTTGTGCATGCTTCTCATTTGATTCCCTTTCAACTGCTTAGCCACATCACTTTTTCAAAATACTGTCTCTAAAAGTTCAAGCATCATACTTTCATTACAATTCCAACCCTTTTCTTTTTCTTTTATTCCCAACTACAACAAAATGAACCCACCAACAATAGTTAAGGAATATGTTTGTTTGTTTTTTTTCCGATTTGTTTGGAAGTTTAGAGCATGCAGAATTGCTATCATACATATAACGTAACCTATTTATGCGAAAACATTCATTTAAAACCATCTCATAATACAATGTCATTGACTTGTACGTATGTTCTTAAGATAAAACAACAAAAGGTATTCAAAGCAAAATAATATAAAACGAAAGATGAAGATTAAAACAATGCCCTAAACTAATATAAGATACACTACCGTAGGTTTCAAAGGTCTTTGATGCAACTACCCTATCCAGATCATTGGATGTGAATTTACTACTCTCAACATGGTCTGCATGTGCGAAGATGGACGCACCAAATAGTTCGCACATCCCCTAGGCATCTTATTGGTCGGGCTAGCATCTTTGGTGCTGTTATCGGACACTCGAAAGGAATAGTGACGGTCGTAACATAATCATACATATCATTACCTAACATAATCCAATCACATAATATCATGTTCATAACCTACGTTTCTAAGGTTACTTAGAATATTTGGACATAAACTATACCCAGTGTCCATCATCATACATAAGACAACTCTTCCAACCATATCGATTGTAAATCAATTACTTGATTACCGACCTTAATTGATACCAAATACGCTAGCCATTGCAGTCGGGGAGCTGAGTGTAGGGGCTAAAGATGTGCACGGGATCTCAAGAGGGTCTAGGTCTATTTTCATCTTCTCGAAATCGTGTTTTCGTCATCTCGTTCTATTTTTATTTCTATATGCACCGTTAAGAGTCCCTTTAAAGTGAGTAAGAAACACAAAAGGGAAAACAAAAACCTAAAAGTTTTACACAAATCTCTCAAACATGATCTTTACTCCATCATCAAATCTTTCCCCTTACCCATCTCCCAAAAAACAAAAAACAAAAAACAAACCCAATAAACAAATAAAATAAAACAACTAATTATTACATCATCATTGTATTATCATTATTAATATATACTTGTTTCTCTCCAACTCAGATTCACCTCCCTCCGCCCCCGTCAAGCAGCGGACGGCGCCGACACAAACTGAACAGGTCCGGCTTCGGACAGAGCACAGATAAAAGGTTGCATGTTCACGCCATCTCCGTCCGCCGCCGATGACGACGGTGGTGGCTTGTAGTCCAAAGAGGAGTCGTTGTAGATATCCCACCATTTGTCAACCAGCATTTTTATGTCATCCCTCTGCATGTTCTCCTCCTTCCCCGTATACCTCCATGGCTTCGATCCCTACCGACCCACACCCTCGATTTTCAGCACATATTCAAACAATTCAGAATTCAACTGAAACAACAACACTCACCGCTGCACAATAATGAACAACTTTGACACGACGGAGCTGGACGTTCTCCGGGTGACGCCAAAGCATCGCCAATACCAAATTGAAATCCAAAGGAATCGGCTTATAAACATCCTGGAAATACATATTCAAGAAGTCCTGCAAACCAAAAAAAAAAAAAAATGTCAGAATGATTTTGAATTTATAAGTAAAGAATAAAGGTCGTCGTACCATAACAGAGCCGTGATTCTTGACTTAGTAGGCAATTACCTGCTCGGCAAAGGGGGTGGGAGGGGTGGCTTTGAGTGTATTTAAAAGATCATGATACGTGGCAAGGCCGGGCTCGAAAACAAACATGCCGGCGTTGAAGTAGAGCGGCGGCGGAGGGTGACCCAGATCGTGGGGCCATTGGACCTTGTTGGGGCACTGCTGGCAGTAGCCGATCCGGTACTGGGGAGTGTGGCTCCATGTCTTTTCACAGAAGCAGTCCATCACGGCGTACAAATGGCCGTCCGGCAACTCGAATAACTCGTCTATGTTCTCGTAAACTTGAATGTCTCCATCCAAATACACCATTTTATCGTACTCCACGAACTGTTCAATTAAAAATTTCAATTAATTTTTGAAATTTTTAAAATTATAAAATTTTAAAATAAATTAGAATTAATCAGATCCTAAATTTAAGAATTATAAGGAAAAAGAATGGAAATGAACCTCCCAGATACGGAGCTTAGAATAATTGATGACATAATAAGCCATAGCGAACCGGGTCTGGTTTTCAGGTGGGTAAACCGGTTCGATCTCCTTAACTATGCATCCTTGCGACTCCAGAACCCTCCGGTGGTCCTGGGGGACGTCCGGTAAGACGGCGACGACAAGTGGGTACATGGAGTTCACCTTTCGGAGGCCCTTGGCCAGTCCGACGACGCCTTTGACATAATCGCCATCACCGGCCAAGAACGTCACGTACGCCCGCCGTGGTAGCCGGTGCCTTCCACCTCCGGGAAGCTTCACCGGAGCTCCGTTGGTGTGGACTAGTTCCGGTGCCATTCTTAAGAGATCACAAAAAGAAATGCGTGAGGAGAGAGAAAAAAAAGAACCGTCGTGTTGAGAGGTTTGGCGGTGGTGGAGACCGGTGGTTGAGAGGCGTTTAAATAAGCGTTGGATGAAGGGGGAAGTGAGGAGGGAGATGGTTGGATGGGTTACACGTGGATTGGGATATGATCCAACGGTGGAGGGGAGGAGTTAGTGAAGGTTCTGGATGACGCCAGTGGGGGCTGTGACGGGGAAGACACTAGAAAGCAGAACACAGAATCTGGACTTTGGAGTAAAATAGATTTAAAGTTTTTAATTTTATTAGGTGTAAATTATAAATTTCATTTAATTACTTAATCTATCAAATTTTAAAATAATTTAAGTACCTAAATTATTGCTTTATTGAATAAAGGTAGAGAGAATAAATATGACAAAATATTTTCATATTTCCAATTTTGCCCAGGTAAATTCGAACCTTTTGAACGTGAATTGTAGGGAATATTGAGGACATTTTGTGACCAAATTGGGAATTTTGCAAGACAGAGAATAAAAGGTTATTAATTGATGGATTTGTAATTTTTAAAGTAAGAAATTAAAGAAAAAAACAATCGTCAAACTAGATCTTTTAAACTCAAGTGATTCCTAAATTATATAATAATACCAAATTAAAACTATTTTTTTTAATTAAAACTAGTAAATAAAGGATTAATTAACATTTCAAATATAATGAAAATGGCATAACATCATGCCTTATACAATATGAAAGTCACAATAAAATACATAACGTGACACAAACGTAACGTAACATAACTTATAACATGACATAACATATACATGTCAAACAGTCACAAAATAAGGTACATAGAAGGGCTATAGAGCACGCACCGTCATATTTAGCTCAATGATGTCACACTTAGCTCCAAATAATTTAATTAGTTAGGAAGTAGTCGTACTGACATTAAGAATCTTTGAAAGTATAAAAAATATTTTAGAAAGAGTCAGAAGATACATATCATACTCAAGTCGGATCAGTTCAAAATCCAAACGGTTGTCAGAAAATGTACTCTGCGAAACCACCCAAATAGGATGAAATACTATTCAATATTAATAATATTTAATCATTTTTTAATTTGAATTAGCTTATAAGCATATTATTTAAAATCTAATAATGAAATAATAGCTATTAGAGAGCCAAAATCCACGAGTCTGTCCAAGGCAGCCACGTGGCTAGTGTTTGTGGCTCAGGTTTCCCACGTCATGAAATGGTAAGTTTTCAGAAATAGACACGTGGCTGCTTTATGGGTATATCCCATCACTTCTGTTGCAGCTGTCCTTTTTGATGAAATTACAGTTTTGGACATTTCTTGATCTTTCTCACACGTGCCTACATCTAACACTAACGCTTCACACGAAATATCTCATGTATCTAAACTTTCTAGAAACTATTCTATTTTATTATTATTTTTTCATGGTTTTAATTATGTTGAATTTTTAAATTTTGTGTAGGAATCAAAAATTAAATTTAGCTCTAAATTTGTTAAAATTTTAGAAGAATATTAGAAACTGAAGTAATGGTTGGATGGTAGTTAAAAACAAAATAAAATAAATTATCATTTGTGTACGTCTGATTTCTTTAAAATATCTCAACTAACTCTTTTTAATCCTTTCAACTAATTCTTTTCAAAGGCTATTCAATCAGGTAGATCAGACCAAATCGGGGCAGACCAGACCAATCCTATTCTTCCTCTCCAATCAATCAAACCAATCCTCTCCAAAAGGGCAGACCAATCCTCTCCAAACAGCTATTCCTCCTCTTGCAATCCTTTCAACCGACCAATCGTCTTCAAACGGGTAAACCAATCCTCGACCAACCCTTATGGCTTATTCCTCCTCTTACAATCCTTTCGACCAACCCTTATTCCTCCTATTCCTCCTCTTACAATCCTTTTGACCAACCCTCTTCAAATAGTTATTCCTCCTCTTATGATCCTTTCGACCAACTCTCTTCAAACAGTTATTCATCCTCTTACGATCCATTAGACTAACCCTCTTCAAACAGTTATTCATCCTCTTCCGATCCTTTCGACCAACCCTCTTCAAAGAGTTATTCCTCCTCGTACGACGGCCCTCTTCAAAGAGTTATTCCTCTTCTGACGACCCTTTCGACCAACCCTCTTCAAAGAGTTATTCCTCCTCTTACGATCCTTTTCAACCCTCTTCAAACAGTCCTCCTCTTACGATCCTTTTGACCAGCCCTCTTCTTATTCCTCCTCTTACGATCCTTTCGACTAGCCCTCTTCTTATTCCTCCTCTTATGATCCTTTTGACTAACCCTCTTCAAACACTGACGTAAATCCTGTCAAAAGAAAAGATCAGTCAGATAAAACAAATAAGTTTAAATCATTCCTTCATATATTTCAACCAACACTTTTCAAAGAGCAAACTAATTTCTGCCAAAAGAAAAGACTTTTGAGAGAACAATAAATTTAAATGTCCTTCCCTAAACTAATTTGTGCCCAAAGAAAAGATATTTAAGAGAAAAAAGATAAATTTAAGCCCATTCTTCTTTAAGATATCTCAACAATCTCTTTCCAAACAACAAATTAATTTAAGCAGATCCTTCCTTAAGATATCTCAACCAACCAACCCTTAACAAGCTAAAGAAGAACTCGATATTCCTTTTATCCTCAATAATTATACTACAAGATGACTGATTTTTGCACTCATTTTGATTTAATTGATAACATCACGATCATGAATTTGAGGTTAAATTGGAATTTGGGGAGCAAATTTGCTTATACAAAAAAATAATTAGTAAATTCGACTTAAGCCAACTAAACAACTAACCTTAACGTTGGAGTTAGATAATTGAATGATTTACCCTCCATGCACCATTTTATTTATGTTATGTGATTGTGTCCTATGTAATGTCATATGATGCTATAATGTGTATGCATATGATGTCCATTACGCTATGTTGTATATGAAAATGAAATACTATGGACGTCCTGTGTTATGTATTGACATGTAAAGCTATGTAATGGTTGACATGTATACATGATGTATATATGTACTCTATCATGAATGAAAAAAAAAAAAAAAAGATAATGATGCTAATGTTATGCTATAAATGGAAAGTAGAGAGATCTCATGCATGTATGCATATCAAGTGCATTGAGATATTTCACACAACACCCTTAGTACGTGGACAAGCTTGGACACTAATGGGTGGCCAAAAATAAGGAAGACGAGTGTCTAGAGTTTATAAGTGGGCCCACCTTCAATAATTTTAGAAGCTTGGGAATGATTGATGTTTACATCTCAAAACCTTTGTTTTATTTTCGAAAAGTTATAATAATGTCCACGTGGATATTTGAGTTTGTTTCTTATAGAGATTTTTATGTAAATATCCATTGGTTACATATTTTTGAAAAATAAAATTTCAAAGAGATATTTTTATGCCATTTTCAATTTGGTTAGATATTTTTTAATATTGGATCTGATAAGCTCTCGTGTTTCGTTGAATCTATAAAATTGTTATTAGAAGTACAAAGACTCTCGTAAAAAAAGAGATCTATAAGTACGAAATAATTTGAGTGAAATAAGTGGAGGTTTCGTTATCTTTATAAAATGGTATCAGAGTCATGGCCTAAATCTAGTTAGGAGTCGTGCCTTCCACTCAGGGAAAGATAAATGGGCCTTGCATACGGGTTTAGATAGTGTTGTTTGTTATATTATGGGCCATAGAATGGGCTTCTTAGTGATATCAGGCCCAACTATTACATTTACACGTGGCTTTTCTTTTTCGTTTGATTTTAATTAAAATAATTGACACTCACAGTTTTGACTGCCTAAAGAAGCTTCTATCTTGGACCAAATAGCTTAACAAACAGTCAACGACGACTCTTTGACTAATTCTTCTATTTCATGACGTGGACTTCCACTATACTATAAGCTCTTGCGTCAAAATTTATAGAAAAATAAAACATTTTGAATCAACGAACAAAATTCATAAAAAATAATAAACCTAAAAAAAGTATTAAAAAAAGAAGAAGTCAAAGTCAACTCCATTAAGCTCCCTCTTCGCTCCTTTCCCTTTTCTAATGCCCAAAACTTTGACTTTTTTTCAACCCTTTTTTCTTTATTCATTTAATTACACAAAACCCACTTGAATTTTGATTATAAAAACCATCTTTAAAACACATTTTTCAAATTAAACCTTTCCTTTTCCTCCTCTGTTTCATTATATATATAGATTTAACTCTGGGCTAAAGTAGCAAAGCTTTGTTCCTATCCATCAATGGCAAATCATGTGAAGAAAGGGTCGTGGACGGCGGACGAAGACTCCTTGCTTTCCCATTACGTTACTCTTCACGGCGAGGGCCACTGGAACTCCGTCGCTCATTCTACCGGTGAGGATTTCATATAAGCAAGGAATACTATCTCTATTAAGCAAAGTCATGAAAGTTTATGTTTAAAGTGGACAATATCACACTGGAGAGTCATGATTTCTAACGTGACAGAAGTATAATTAATTTTGGGTTTTGTTTTGTTTTAATTTAATTTACAGGGTTGAAGAGAACCGGGAAAAGCTGTCGCCTGAGGTGGCTGAATTATCTCCGCCCCAATGTCCGCCGTGGAAATATTACTCTTCAAGAACAGCTTGTCATTCTTCAACTTCACTCCCGTTGGGGCAATCGGTCAGTTTTTTCTCCTTTTAATTCATATATATATATATATATTATGAGATCAAACGTACTGATGAGATTTTTTTCTTGGGTTTGTTAATTTAGGTGGTCGAAAATAGCTCGGTTTCTACCGGAAAGAACCGACAACGAGATAAAAAATTACTGGAGAACCCGAGTTCAAAAGCAAGCCAAACAGCTCAAGTGTGATGTTAATAGTAAGCGTTTTCGTGACACGATGAGATTGGTTTGGATCCCCCGCTTGGTCGAGCGTATTGCAGCCACCTCTGGTCAATCTTTGCCGGCGTGCACCGAGACCTCCACGTCAACTCCTACAATTTCAGAATCCACGTGGGATGACAATAGTGTCAATGCGGACACGTCAGGTTGGGGAGACGGGTTTGAGGCGGGTTGGTGGGAAGAAGACGGGGTTGAGTCATCATTTGAGAGCTTGTGGACTGAGGAAAACATTCGTTTCTTACAACAACAGCTGTTTGATTAGAAATAAACCAAAAACAAAAAGAAAACTAAAGTATAAAATGCTCTAATCGTTTTATTAAATAGATATTTATATAACCCGAAGAATTCATTTCTAGTTATATAAGAATTTAAATCGTATATAAAAAGCTCTAATCATTTTATATCTAAGAGATATTTATATAATTCGGAGAATTCATGCCAAGTTATATAAGAATTTAAATCGAACTTAATGCATAAAACGCTCTAATAGCACCCTCTTCTATTTGCTATATATTATATATATAGTTTCAAAATATTTTAGATTATTTTTTTTGGATTTAAAATTAGTTCAAAACATGTTTTTTAAAGGCTAAATTAATAAAAATATTTTCAAGAGTATCTTTCAAAAAAAAAAAAATTAGAAAAGTCAAAGAATATTCTTAAATTTAAAAATATAGTTGAATTTTAAAAAAAATTAAAAAAATATCTTTAATTATTTTTGTCCATATTAAAAGTAGAGGCGGTTAATACTAATTTGAAATTTTTATATATTTTTTTAAAACACAATAATGACCATAAATATATTTTTGAAATTTAAAGTAAAAATTAATGAGTATTAATAAATTTTTTAAAAGTTTTATTTTTATTTTTTGAAAATCTTAAATTTTTATAGATATTTATGAGATGAAAGTAGAAACTTTTGACGTATTTTTATTAATTTAATTTAAGTTCGATTTTACATTTTTAATACAATTTACCTACTAAACAGATAAAATAGTTTTAACCCGTTCAAAATCACTCCCAAATACTATAATATCTAGTAATAAAATTAAAAAGAAAAAGAAACACAATGATAACATAAAACTTTTGTTTTTTTGCTTCTCATATTTATATGCTACAAGAAACTATATATTTAACCGTAGTAGGTAGGACATTAGACACCCAAAACATTGCCAAACCCCAAACAAGTCTCTCTTCTTCTTCTTGCATTACAGTCTTATGTATGACTAAATTTTTGCTCTTATGGTATACTTTCGTTTTAAGGTCTAATCTTGAACGAGTCGAGTCTCGAGCCAGCTAGCGTGAGTGAATAAATGTAAGTCTTGTATTCTCTCCAAGTGAAAGACCTATAAACACACGGTTGATCCGAGGTAATCATCTCTGGTAGAGGAGAAATCCATGTATCTAAAGACGGGGATGCAAAAAAAGTCATGGACATTCTCGACCTTGGCCCTATGTTCGCAGTTGCCCTATGCTTCAAACTCCCAAACCTTCCATTGGTAAAAACCTTCATATTTCCAATATCATTCAATCTAATTACAATAATTATTTGAATGAAATTGATGATATAAAGAAGAAATTATATATACCTGAAATAAATCACCAATCATGACGTAGTAGGCAGTGGGGTCAGGAGGGACAGTGACCCACAACCCATCATCCAATAAGATTTGGAGGCCAGCAATGTCGTTGGATCTTAAGATGGCGAAGATCTGAGGGTCAGAATGCTCGCCAAACCCAAGCTTATTGGAGGGCGTGGGATGGATGAAGTAGTGATTGATTCTAAGAAGTGAGTCACTTTGAGCATCTAAGATCATACGGCTGAAAATGGAGTTGTCTGATATCCCTAACCCCTCAGCCATTAGATCAAGGAGCTCACAGGCCACATTTTTGGTAGCTTGTATGTAATCATTCAAAGCACAACTGCATTAAGAAAAAAAAAAAAAAAAATTGAATTTTTATTTGAACACAAAAACTATTAAATTTCTAGTATTCTTTACGATCTTCTCGATTAACTTATAAAATCAAAAGAAAACCTGAATTTTGATGGATTTTGGGAGATAGAGAAGGCAAGTTGAGAAATCAAGGAAGGTTGAGATGGGAGGAGAAGATATTCAATCTCTCCGATGTCGCCATGGCGGCCGATATTATTGATGCCATAGCCAAAGCGAGTGGTATTGCCAACATCGATGGGAGAAATTTCAGGGCTGGCGGGGAGCTTTTCGGCGGTGGGCTTGGCAAAGAAGGCCATGGCTTCTTCTTCAGCTCTTGAAATGCAATCCTGAGGGATGCCATGGTTGATGAGCTTAAAGAAGCCATACTTTTCGCTGGCCTCGACGAGCAGCTTCAAGAGGGCTTGCCGGTTGCTGGTGCGGTCGGAGAGATCGATGGTGGGGATCCTTGCGGCGGCGGAGGGCTTGGAGTTTGTGGTTAGGGAGGAATTGGGTGATGCTACCACCATTGTTATCTTTGGTTTTGAAGAGATGAAAATGAGAGGGAAGATTGTGTGTTGGGTTTCAAAGTTGAATAATGTCTATTTATAGTGTTAAAGAGATAAGAGAGTATGGAGATTTTTTTATTTTATTTTATTTTTTTGGATTAAATTTGTCCATTTTGGTCAAATCTATTAATTTATGAAATCTTTAGGAGAGAGAGAGCTTTGACTTTTAATATTTCCATCCTGCTTTTGAATTTATAATTTTTATTTTTTTATTTTACTGATAGGTTATTTCTTTTTTATATTTAACCATATAAAATCAATATGGATGTAGATTGATATTTCACGAAAAATAAAATAATAATAATAAAAATGTTTAAATTAATAAATAAGAAATTTAAATTTAAATAACCTAATTCAAATATTCATTCTAAGGGTGCTTTTCAAAATTAAATTACCAATTTGGCCTCTCTTTTTTTCCTTTCATTTTTGTGATAGGCCAAATTTATCTATATAAAAATATTCTATATTTAAAAATTAAAATTGTACATGAAAACTATACTCGTGCTCGTCATAATTTTTTCATTAATCATTTAACAAAAAGATATTTATATATATACAAAGTTTTTGAAACGTAACACTCCATCTATTATTTATAGTTTTTTAAAAATTTCTTAATTATAAAGTACTTTTTAAGAAAATAACAATAAATGCTACGATCATTTTTTTTAGTCAAAGTTTAGAGATATCATAATATTTTTGACTTTTAAACCCAATAAAAATCTATATTTATTATTATCTCCAATTTAGATACATATGAGACCGAGGACAAAACATATTGGAAAGACTCGTGGTGGTTTGTAGACATTTACTTTTTTCCTAATTTTAAATCCATTAAGAAAAAATAAGAACTAATCCTTATGTCGATCAATTTTAATCCTAACATTTGACTTATTTCTCCCGATCCAATTTTACTCGCAATAATAACTAAATCTTAATTAATGGCTAAATAACTATTCACTAGGTCACCAAAAAAATCAACAAAAAGATTAGAACGAGATGGATATAAGCAACCGAGGACATTAATTATTTAATGCATAATTTTAATTTTAGGTTTTTGGATGACTATCTAAAATTTCACCAAGGCAACTTTTTGAGCCGTGTAGAGGATTGATCGTGCTATCTTATGAAATGTTTAAATCTTAATTGATCATAAGATAATTCGTATCTAACTTCACGTGCCAAAATAGTTCCATATTTTAAGGTTTTTTTTATAGATAAATATTAAATCGAGTAAAACTAAAAGCTCGAACATTAAGATAAAGTTTAAATGCTCAATATAGGGTGTGAGAATTGATATCTCTAATATTTTGATTGAAATATTGGTTTCAATACTCAAGTTTTTAATATTTTACTAGAAAAATTAACTAATCATTATTTAATTACTGTTTAGATATATTATGAAATTTGAAGTGGTAGCATGGAGGAAAGAATATTAGAAACCACGAGCTTCCATAATGGTATGCTGTTGTTCACTTTGAGTATAGTATAAACTTTTGTAACTTTGTTTTTTTGTTTTTTTTTTCAAAAGATCTCGTACCAATAAAAATAATAATCTTTAACCTATGATCTTTTTCTTAATTGGTCAACGTGGGACTCCTCCCAACAATTCTCGACACCAAGATGATAGCAATTATTTTGTGGTTGTGGAAAGCGCGTTGTTAGGCTATTATCCAATACCGCACTTGCACTCCAATTGAAGCTTAACATCCTCGTTGACACTCATTCTACTCTTCAATCGATGTGGGATCTCACAGCAAGCAAAAGAGAAGAGAGGGAAGATAACATTCATAGTGTTGTTTCCATGATAAATAAAAAATTATAATCCAAGAATTAGATTTCTAAAACAGAGCTCTAAGATTATCACAAAAGAATTTTAATATATTTGGAAAATTATATATATATATAGGCATCTAACATAAATAGGTATGAAATTGTGACAGAATTAAAATGGAGCTTCCTCTATGATTTGGGTTTTTTCTTCAAATGTTTAATTTCTATAAAATCCTTTTTAATATAAATTAATCAAAAGTGGACGTGACGTTTTCTTCAAACGCTTCGTCATTCTGTATTGCACATCTTTTAATTAATAAACTTTATTTAGTAAAAACGTTTAAAAAATCGTAATTATAAGTATAAATGTGGTTTATAATAATGGTAAGATGGTTAATTAATTTGGATATGTTTGGTTAATTGAAGTATTATATTAGTTCATTGAATTTTATAAATAAAAAAAAAATGTTTTCAAGGTTCATCACGCAACCTTTATGAATCAATATTCTAATTAAACAAATAGATATATGCTTTTACCCATCCTTTGCTTTGCCAATGCATGCAATTAATGCCCATTCTATTATTGTCATTTATCCTTTTTAATTTGGATACTCACCTGCCATATCCTAAATTACAAATTTTATTCCTATGTATATGTTATTGGATTTAATCAATTTTATTTATTAAACATTAATTAAATATAATTTAATTAAAATTAAGTCAGGGACGATGAATTTTAATACCAAATCAAAGGAGTATATACCAAGGCACTATATGACGTCTAGAACCCAATAACTCTAAGATACTATAAACAAAAAACACTGCAATATATAGAAATATATCAAATTTGATTTTTTTTTTCTTAAAAAAGAATATATAAACATTCGTAACATTTTAAAATTGGAGAGGTGAATAGAAAGGGATGTATTTGTAGAAATGTGCGTGTCATCATTATGTATCGTTCCAGTTTTATTAGATGTCCCCGAAGGGACGATAACTTGGTTCAACTAGTCTTATTTAAACAATAAATTATATTGTAAACTGATTGATGTGGTACAAAAAGGTACTTTGAAATGACAATTGAATGACAAATCGACGCGTACTGATGAGACTGCTTAAATCAACACGTCAACAATGATCTTAGGGTACCTTTTATTTACCTTATTTATTTACTATTGTTAAATATTTCTTTAAGTAGGAAAAAAAAAATTATATTTAATTTATTTTTTATTTATTTTTGTTCTTTTAGCTTTTTAGATTAAATTTTTTTGTTTTGACTTATAGATCATTAATTAATTTATTTTTATTTTTTATTTATGATGTGTTACTACATTTTCCAATTTTAAAAATTAAATTTTATAATTTAAAAAATTAACTTAAAAAAAAGAAAATATATATTAATAATCCCTTCATAACTTAAAAAACATAATCAAGTTGTCTTTTTTTTTTTAAAAAAAAATTACGATTTAACGAATTTTGATAAAAACTAAAATTAAAATTAAAACTTCAAACTAACTCAAGTTAATTTTTATAGTTATTTATGGTCGTTAATTAGTTCCTAGATAAATAAATGACTTCAAATATGTGTGAAATATCATATAAATTAATTGCAATATGCATTAATTAAATCTCCATTAGTTTTTATTTTTTTAATAAATTAATTAAGATGACAATAATTACCTCTATCTATAATTTTCTTAATTTATTTCTTACTTTTTAAACATATTTCAAGTAGGGTTGAAAAATTAATTTTTTTTAATATTTGTTTAAAATAGAAACGTATTTTTTAAGAAAGTAAAAGCTTTTTGATAATATTTTTGAGAATTAAATAATAAAAAATTTTAACATAAAAATAATAAAATAACTTAAAAATATATTTCAATTAGTTAAAATATAGTCTTTATAACTAAAAATAGAAATTACTCAAAACATTTTTTAATACTAATAATAATATATAAAAGACATGAAAATTTGACTTGTTATTAATCAAGTTTATCTCTAGTTTAGTCTTTTTAATATCTAATAATAGTATATGAATTAATAAATTACGGAGTTAAAATTATATTTTCGGTCTTACTATTTTCTCCACAAAAATTTCGCTAGCCAAGCATCTCAATAGGGGTATATTCGTAAATCGCTTACGGAGGGATTTTTAATGCAATAGAGGGGTAAAATTGTAATAAACTATATTCTTGAAAAATAATTTGTACTATTACTGGATTTGTCCATCTCAATTCTCATCCTTTAGCACGCCATCAAATCTTTTCGATGTGGGACAAATGGTTGCCTTAGAACGACAGCTGATTGAGAATCCGACAGTTACTAGTCTGATCACTAAAAATTTTGTGGCAGTTCGACACGTCGGAAATCTGTCTCCTCCATAATATGCCTCGGTGTCGGCTTCCTCCATTTCATTTTAATTCTGTGTTTATTATTAATTAATATATATATGTCAAATTTGTCGGTTATGGAAGCTTAACTTGACCTAAATATATTATCATCTATTTTTAAGTTTAATAATTCTTTCATTTTTTTAAATTCTAATTTTTTTTAGTTAAATTATAATATTTAGAGAATATATTATTATAGAATATATATTAGATTTTAGATCTTAATATTCTTTATTTTTTTATTTTATGATTTAATTTATAATATTTTCCTTATTTATAAGAAGTAGTTACTCTGCTTGTATTTTATTTGAAGCTTTTGAATATCAATAAAAACGTACCTTCTCAATTTTATTTCTATTTCTTATTCTTAAAAATTTTATACCTAAATTTTCAAAATATAATAAAATATCGGTACTTAGTATAATTTTGGTATAAAATATTAGGTAATTTACATTCTTTCTCCGATTCAAAAAGAGTTAAATATTAGAAGATACACATTATTCAATATATTCTATTATTAAAATAATTATAATAACAACGCACTTATTTATTAAAAAGTTCATAATTGTTTCATTATAAACTCAAAAGATGATGTTACGAATAAATGGATATCAACTAATTATGATATACACGATCAACAAAGGTTGAATACCCAAATTTAATACTTTCAACCAACCTCCCTTTTATCAACTCCATTATGTAAAATCATTATTAAATTTATCAATAATATGTAAGGGTTGGATATTCGTCTCGTGAGTTAGGTTAGTCACGAACCATTTGGTAGGCTTGAATGGTTCGAATATTATTAGAATGTGGTCTAGCATCGGGTTTTGGTCGAGCCTAAAA